AGAAACCCATCCTGACCAGGAGGACAAGGTAGACTGGGACCAATCCCCCGACCACCCCTGAGTCTTTCTGGAAAGAGAATATGGTAATAGAAAGTCACAATTAGTTCCATGCTCTGTGTTCATGGTCAGCCGATAGGACACTCAGCTGGGTGATATATAACGCACGCCTGACCCAGTAGTCCAACTGCCTTCATTTCTAAATACCTCTATTTTGTTCACCTATTCATTTATTCATCTGTAACCCAAAAGCCAACTTGAGCTCAGTGCTCCTCAAAGTGCTATACAAGGCAAGATCAGCTTCCCGATTTTACCCTGATTGAAGACCCAAGTCTTCCTTGGACTTCCGCAGATGACCAGGGGGCAGAGTCTCAGTAACCACCTCCATGTTCCTCCATCCACACCTGCTCTCTCCCTTCTGAACTCTCTGCTAGATGTGAGCCTCTGCCCTTTCCTCAATTCCCAAACACCAGATCCCCAACCTCATTCAAACAAGGAACTCGTGAGTTTAATGTTTTTTTTCTGATCATGAGGGTTTCAGAGAGGATTCACTGTGCTCTGAAGAGCAAACAATTTAAAACGACATGTTAGGCATTCATGGTCTCAAAGGCCCACAGCCTCCTTGCCTCTCAGGGCTTTTTACGGTCCTTTATCCCACAGTGTCCAGCCTGATTCTATCTCCCTAGCTCTTCTTTCCTCTCCCTTGTTCTTCCTTTCTTATCAAGGGAAACATGAAATCCCTCTCATTTCCACATGCAAAGAGTCTAACCGTTCTTTCTTTGTTCATTGATTCCTCAAATTACACCCTGTTGGTCCCAAATAAATTGTAAGGTATTTTTCCCCAAGAAAGACCACTTTCCCCAAGGTAAATCAGGTGCCAGCTCTTAAGGAATGTAACTTCCACCTCATGGAATTATGTGATCATTTACTGATTACATACGATGCCCTAGGACTCGGAATGACTAAAAGTCTCTCACATCTGGACCACCGTGGTGGAGAGGTGATGTGCGGAGGGTGAGGTCCAGGTGAGATGGAAGGAGCCAGGTCAGGCTGTCTAGGGTTACAGGGGAGGGCAGTGGGCACAGCCTAGAAGCCGTGGGCTGGACACATCCAAAGTGCTGGTCATATGCTTCATCCCAGGACCCTTCACTTGTTGGACCCAGCTGGTTCACCCACTCCAGGCCTCACATTATCAACCAGCCCTTTTGACTTCATGGGGCTCTCATGAGTCTTGGGTGAGGACATTTTAAAACTAGAGGCTCTGAGCGTGGAAAAAGTGATGAGTTCTGTTTCCAAAAGCAATTCGAAATAAAACCAACACCAAACCTAAGTGTAAGGAGGTCCAAAGAAGTTCTGGGTTTTCCAATAATGAACATGTTCATTAATTAAGCTTAATGAACATAAATTATTTTTTCCTTCAAAACATCTACCATCTTTACCTATAATCTATCTATCCATCTATCTATATATCATCTACCGCATCTGTCAATTGGATAAACCAATACAGGTTTGATAAAAACTTAATGCATCTCTTGTTCCCCTAGTCTTCTTTGTTAATCTAAATTCTCAGGGAATAGGGATTGTTAGACAGTTCAGATTAAATGACTTCTCCCCAGAAGTCTCTTTTATTTTCAATTCTGAGTTCCAAAGGCTTTCTAAATTTCACATCATCATTAGCATAATCTATAGAGCATAAGATTTCACGGGGCCTTGTAGTCACTTATCTCTTGATCAGATATTACCATCTGGATGTTTTTATGTAAGTCAAGATAAGCAGATAGAATGAATATGTACTTACTATAGGGCATTTTCTAGAGCCTTTAAAAATTCAAATCTGGACCTAATTTTATTTTCATATATACTTCCTAAAAGCAGGCCCACATATACACACATAGGGTAACTGTGATTTATTTCTGGATGGCTCCAGGTAATCACGTTTACTATAATTAGCATTACATTAGTCAACAAGTTAGTTTTTGACTACAGCCAGTGGGGCAACACTTGACTTTCCTTCTTTTTCCAAAGGGGTAGGTTTATTCTCATAAGTGGTTTCAGGATCTCAAGAGAATTTGACTTGGTGAAAACCTGTGTACACCAGCACCAAGTGCCTGTCCTGTAGCTCAGTACTCACTCAGGTCATAAGTGCCCACACTGGGTAGATGGTGGGGCGTGGGCAAGGATTTAGTCAACCACCAACTCCATCGAGAACAGCAAATTAAAGAATCATCGAAGCAAGCCGTGGTTCTAGTTTAGTGTACTCCTTTCACAGACAGGGGAGTTGAGTCACAGAGAGCTCCCCCACCGCCCCGCGCTTTCACATACAACAGGTTGGCAGCAGAATTAGTTCTGATCCCATGTCTCATTCAAAGAACGTCCTACTACATGGTATAGCTGACGCTAAGCAAATTTTAGGATCCAGTTTGTCTCTAGTGTTCTCAAACCAGTTTGAGTTTTCAGATGATGATTTGATACTCACGATTTTATTCATATTTAGGAAGTTAGAGCAATACTGAAAATTTCTAACATTGCCTCTGGAAAATCTGGCCCATTCCTTTGGTTGATACTGGTTCTTGAATCAGAATGATCTTGAAAACTACATTCCCAAGAATCATCGTCTTGGCCATTGTAGCCATGGAAGGAATCGTTCCAGTGCTTTACCAGCCGCGGCCCCTGTTGCTCTTCTGAGAAATGAGAGTCAGCTGAGCGTGGCTCTTCCTCTGCCTGGAGGGAGCCGTCAGTCCCTGGGAACAAGCTCAGTGTTTTCCCAGCTCTGTGAGGAGTTGCTGAGGACAGAATTGACTGAGGGATCCTTTTGCGCTTCGGATGAAGATGATAAGTGACTGTGTCATGCTCCTCAAGAACCCACTGTGCAGCTGAGACTCAGCATCAGCTTTTTGTCTTTCAGAAAAAAAAAAATCCTCATTTGTTCCAGATGCCCCCAAAATGCTGCACCTCGTATATATGCCTGGTACTCAGAACTGACCCAGAAGGTACATGGCGGGCTGAAGGTCCAGGTTCTGGCTGGAACCTGTGAGGTCAGAACCTGTGAGGTCCAGGTTCTGGCTGTCCCCCAGGTTCCACTGCACAGTCCAGGGTTCACTGGGCACTGGGTTCACTGGGCACTTCAGTTTCTCACTGAATAGCTCAGGATATGGAAAATGGCCTGATGTCGGGGACAGCCCACCATTTGGAACAGTTCCAAACAGGTCATGGACAGTGGCCAGCTGTCTTCCGTCTTGATCACTGGAAGGAAAGTGGAGTGCGGCTTTCACCTCCTAATGAAGGCAGTGCTAGACACAACTTTCTCACCGACAGTGGCTAGTGGGTGAGCCCCAGTCGTCAGCTGATCCTGCAGGGTCGCCAACAGCCAGGCCTGGGAAACATTCCTTGCCCAAAGACGAGGCTGTGGACAGCCTTGACCCTGGCTCTGACCCAACAGTTACCAGACTTTCCAGTACAATGGGCTTCCTGGGTGTCGCAGGGTAGCTGCAAAAACGTCTGTGGCTCTGTAACTATTTAGTGCACAAAGAAGCCTCTTGATAACTCACAAGCCTCAACATTTACGATGCTCTGTAGTTAACTTCCTGGGTCACTGTTCCTCCATCAGAGTGCAGTGCCCCACCTGGCCCCAGCTTTACTTGACAATGTCTCTGTGTTTTCTATCTCTGTGTCTTTTTCCATCTCTGGTCGCCCCTACTCGAGATCCTTTGTAGATGGTGTGCAGGTCGCGGCAGACTGAACTGGTGGCTACTTGTGAGCGTGGCTCACTGCATCATTGGTGAGAAGCAGAGAGCTGTCTCAGGAACTGCACAATGATCAGGGTCCCATGGCACTGTGTGTGTGTGTGTGTGCGTGTGTGTAACACACAGTGTACAGGGAAGTGGCTAGCCAACTTTTGCCTTCCCCTTCTTGTCTCCCTTAAGAATCCATTTTCATATCTCATAGCAGACCTGAAAGGGTCAGCCCTTCTCTGAGGTGCCCTCTCTATTGATGGCCAAACATCTGTGAAAATAAGAGCACAAGTCGAGAGTGTGGGTCACCTGGCTGCAGTGAAGAGGAGGATAGCAAAGAGGTGAGGATGGAATGAGCTGGCTCTGCCTTCCAAGGCAAAAGCTGTGTGCCTAGGCCGTAAGACCTCTAACTTTTAGGGGGCTCCTCCCTTTACACTGTTCTTTTCTGCCTCTGGATTACAGGCTGGTCCTGGTAGAAGGGAGTCTGGGGTAGATTGATTGCAATAATGATCCTAACTGTGCCTGCCTCCCTTTTGAATATGGCCTTTGTAATATGGCCACCTATCAAGACAAAGCCCACTTACCTATCCTTGCACCTGGGCTGGTCATCTTAATTTGGCCATCAGAATGTGGCAAAAGTGATGGTGTACCAGTTCTGTGCCTCAGCTCAAGAGGTCTTGCAAACTTCCACTTACCCTCTGGACCCCCAAATGGACTGTGATCAACCTGAGCTAGGCCGCTGGAGGTAGGAGTTGTGTGGCCCCGATGCCTCCACTGACCTAGCTGATCATTTTTCAGCTGCCAGATGGACAGCCATGTAACTAGCCTGCAGTTGACTGCAGACTCAGAAGGAACCCAGCTGAGCCCAGCCTACTGTGTTGACCAATAAGATGATAAGCTAATTTAAAGGTTGTTGTTTGAAGCCACCAAACTTTGGATCAATTTGTTTTACAGAAATAGGTCATTGATACAGGCCCCAGAGGAGAAAGAGGTGGCAGACAGCTGAGCCGGGCTGCTAGTGAGGTGGGAGCTAAGGGACCCGGGTTGCTAAAAACCGGGAAGTCCCAACAACTAGGTCTTACTAGGATCCCCTGGAGATGGGGCAGGGGAAGCCAAGGCCCTGAAAAAAGGCCAGGTGAGAGGGAGCCTGGGGCCCAGTGTGCAGGAGAAATAAGGACCAGGACACGTGGTCACCCTAGGGAATAAATAAAACTTTATTACGGACAGGGAGCAGTGCTGTGTGTGTGCTCCTTGGGGTCTCTGAGGTCTTGGTCACTTTGCAGGGTGGGTTCCCTGGGATAGAAAATCCTGGGTCATGAGCATTAGGTCTCCCGGGAATTCAGCTAAGCTCAGGCGGTTTCGGTTCGTTTGGCCCGCGATGCATCGTTCCAGTTTTCTTATGGTGAGGAAAGGCTGACGGTCATGTCGATGGCAGGCTATGCATTTCTTGGGTTCTTCTGACTTGAAAGTAACGTTCATTTTTATTTCGTGTCTCTTTGTGGGGTTTTGCTCCTTGATATTGTCATGGTAATAACTGTCATAGCTGTCCCCCTTTTTCCAGGCCTTATCTTTTGCCAGGGGGCCCAGGCCTCCTCCGGATGGAAACATGGAGCCCCGGAACCTTTCCATGTAGGGTAAGAGGTGCTTGCTGCTGAGGGCTCGAGCCAGCTGCATCCGCTCTATGTGCTTGCTGATGTTGACCTTCTCCCGCTGGGGCATTTTAAACTCCTCAGAGGGTACGATCACCTTTGCCGTCCACACTCTTTCCAGGGGTGCGCACACGTTGCCAGAGGTGTGTTTCTTACAGTGCGCGACCTGTATGTAGTCTGGGGACTGCAACTGTAGCTCCCTCAGCATCTTGTGTTCTTCCTCTTTTTTAAAAGCCAAAAGCCTTCTGGCTGCCATAGTGTGGATGCCACCTAGACGCTGAAAACGAAAGGGGGCTGGTAAAATCTCTGGGCAGAGGGCAGGCAGCCCCCACAGAGGGCACCCGGGCTTGTTCTCCCTGCACTCGGAAAGCGCCGGAGCCCCTGAAGAGTGAAGGACAAGCCAGGTTCCATCCTGACTCTGCTCTTAGCTCCTAGGAATTCAGAATCCACAGAGCGGGTGGGAGGCCTCCAGAGGAGACGTACATGAACGCGACCATTGGGGGGGCGAGAGGTCAAGAAGCATCAGTCCTCGTAGCCCTTACCACTCACGGTCACATTCCTCACTGGGATTTTTAAATAAGAGGGTACTTGGCTGGGTGAGTGCGGAATCCAAACCCACCTGTGGACTCCACCAGGTCAAGCACACTGTGGGAGAACTCTCTACTGAACCATGGGGTCCCCCAATCCCAACCGCTGGCTTCTGAGGGCCCCTCTCTGTGTGGACTTCAGGACACTTACTAGGATCTCATTTTCCATAGGGGAGTATTTCCCAAAGGCGATGCGTGGGTCTAATTTGTAGGATTTGCTCCATATCCTGGAAGGCAGAGAGGTGGGTGCATTAGAGCCCTGCAGAGTGACCTTCCAGTTTTCCCTCTCAGAGTGGGAAACCCCACAGAGGGCCACTCTCCATCAGCCAGGCTGAGACCCCTGTGAAGGGGCTGGGAGTACTCACCCTGAGGGCGATGTGGAACATGGGTCCTCCTGACAATGCGGGTGCTCCTGGCAACTCTCTGGGAAGGAATAGGGGGCACTAAGGATTCTGACTGACTTTCCGTTCCTCTTATGCGTCTCCTCTGAAGTCTTCTTTTCTTGGGCCCCTGATGTCCAGTCCTCTGTTTTCCCATCCTCTGACAGCTGATCTCCCATTCTTCAAGGATCCTCTAACAAGTGAGGATGGGAGGTGTTAACGCCTGGGGTTTGTCTCCATGATAGTTTAATGGGAACCCAGGGACATTGCCAGCACCTATAGCATCATAACCGCCACCTGGGAGCTATTGTGAGGTCTGTGTTTCAGGCATCAAGTGCCCCCTGGGGGGAAACGGGCACACCTTACTGCATCCTGGCATGCTGGTGCCCAGGGAGGAGAATGGCAAGGTGGCTAGGAGGTCATCTGGCTGCTCGGTTCCCAGGGATGAAGAAGAGCCCAGCGGTCATCTGCCAGTCTAATTTATCAACCTTTCCCCTTATGAGTGATGCTTTCCACGTGTGGTTTAAGAGGTGGCTTCTGCCCTACCCCATGTAGGAAAGACACTTCCCCAAATTCCACAAAAACACGCACATTCATAAAACGATACTCCTACGTTACTCTAAAATCTTTTCTTTTGAATTTTCTTAATTTCCTATCCTTATTTAATTTTCCACCTTATTTAAGTATGTTTTCCAACTTATTTTTATCATGACCGTCAAGAAGTGTGTGTTTATGTGTGAACAAGTCATACACATTTAATAGAAAAAGGGGACAGCAGACAGGGCTTCCCCGCGCTGCCCACAGCTGCCCTGCCGCCACCCCCGGGCTCTGGCTCCCCCTGCTGGACCGTGTGGTCCATTACTAACCAAGACGCCCGCACTGTGACAAAAGACCTGAGAAGAACAACTTTAAAGAGGGCAGGTCTTTTTGGCTCATGGTTTCAGAGGTTTCAGGCCACGGTCATTTGGCTCTGTTGCTTAGGGTCTGCGGTGGCACAGTGATTCAGGTCAGGAGCACATGGTGGAGGAGGCTGGTTGGCCTCGTGGTAGTCAGAAAGCAAAAAAGAGAAGGCAGGAAGGTGCTGGGGCCCAGTACCCCTTCAAGGGCACACCCGCAGTCACCTAAGGTCCTTCCACCAGGCTCCACCCCCTCAAGGCTCCACCCCTCCCAGGAGTACCACGGCGGTGACCCCGCCTTCGCCTCAACGTGGGCCTTTGGGGTACACTCCAGCTCCGCACTCTAGCAAAACTTAAAGGGAAGCTAAAGGTCTGGAAGAGAAACTTAATCAAATTTCAGGTTCTAGTCCATATTGACCTTCTTCTACAAAAGCGAGGTCTGGTTCTGGACAGATCACACTCCAGGAAGCATCTTCCAGGCCAGTGATTCTGGAATGTTAATGTGCGTATAAATCTCCCAGGAGTCTTGTGCAAATGAAGGGTCTAATTCTGTAGGTCTGGGGTGGGACCTAAAAATATGTCCCTCTAACAAGTTCCCAGGAGGCCCATGGTTGTCTGGTCCAAGAAAAACCAAGCTGTGACTCTATGGGCGGGAGCACTGGATAAGAAGTGCCAGGCAAAATATGTCCCTGGGCCAGCGGCAGCAGCATCTCCCAAGAAATGCTGACTCCCAGACCCTCCCAAGAACTTTCACGAATCCCCCCACACTCTCCCCATGAATCTCATGCTTAGGAATTTGGGACAGGAATCTGCCATGGGGAATCCTCTAGGCTGATACTTGTGAGGGATCAGAAGATGGGTGACCTCAACGTGGACAGTTGTGGGGTCACCCAGCAGAGGGCCTTGGCTGGGATTCGATCCTGCTTTGTCCAGTGTGCCTCTATCGTCTGGTTTACGAGCCCAAGTCTCCTCTCTCTTTCCTTCCTGGCAATCAAAGTGTCCTGGCACTGAGCTTCCTCACCCACGTCCTTGTGTTATAGAGTTGAGGAGATGCAGGCTCAGGCAGGGTCACTCCAAAAGTTACCTAGAACCGGGGTCAGCTGTGCCCTTCGGGGAGCTTCTTTAGGTAGGCCAACCCAGAAGGGTGGGACACCGGAGCAGAGGAGGCCACTCACCTGGAGACCTCTGGGAGAGTTCATTCCTACACGGAGGTGTCAGAAGCCACGTCTGATGTGGTTCTGTCTCTCTGCAGGGGCAGGTTATTATCTGGGGAAGTTAAAGGTCTGGAAGAGAAATAATCACACTTCAGGATCTAGTCCATATTGATATTGCTGCACACATGCACTCCTTCTTTTCCTCCACCAGAATTTCTGCTGGGTTCTTGCCAGCCATTCTGATGAGCGCTGTCCCTCTAAGACAGAGTCTGTCCCTGTGGAGGGCCAGCTGATTTTAACAGGCATGAGGGTCAGGAATGGGGATCTCCTCCAGCCCTTTCCTGACTGGTTAGTTGGAAACCTTTGTCTGGCCCCACACTCTCCTTTCAAGAAAGCTGCCCCAGTCAATACCTTGGTTGACGCCTGTCTGAGAACAGACTGTGAGAGCCCTGCTTTGGTTGTCTGTGTTGCATTTATGATCCATCCCCAGAGCCTGAGAGATGCTTTTCTGAAGTACGGATGAGCTTGGGTCCCTGGATTTGAAGAAATAATATGCCAGACACTAACCTTCAGGTAAGGCCAACGGATGCACATTTTCAGTAGGATCACCAAATAGGTCTCTAGATGCCTGAATTTAAGATCCTAATGCATTGGTTGACTTCTCTGGTACATTCTGAGTAAGTGTTCATGACAAAGAGTTTAGTGGTTAGGAGCATGGCTGTGTGGTACACGTCAACTGAGGTTGCTGGATTTGCAAAGCAAAATGCAGGTCATCCAGCAAATTTGAATTTCAGCTGTTCCATTTGCTTATCATAAGGAATTACTGATTTTTATTGAAAATCCAAGTTTTTCTGGGTGTCCTGAGTATCTTTGATACCTGTCTCTGGGCTGGTGAAGGGGTATAGTAAAGCCCTGCTGTGGAGCAGTTACCACTTTCCTTGGCGTAAACACTCCCACCATGGCTGACTGTAGCTGCCAATGTGAAGTCAGGGAATGTGGGGCTGGAAAGAGATGCACACTATTGGCTCTCTTTCAGATAATTTGGATTTGGAATGACTTTCCAGTGGCTGGTGGGTTGAAGGCTTGATCCCCAGTGGATGGTGCTGTCGGAGACTTGAGGAGGGGGGATTAGCTGGAGAAAGCAGCTGAGGGGACCATGCCTTTGGAGGGTTTATTTTGTCCCCAGCTCCTTCCTCCCTCCCTGCTTCCAGGCCACCATGAGATGAGCAGCTTTGCTCTGCTACAATCTCCCCACCATGATGCTCTGCCTCACCTCAAGCTCAAAGGGAAAGGACCAAGCAATTAGGGACCCAACCTCTGAAATCATGATCCAAAATAAATCTTTCCTCCCTGCAGTTTGTTTTCTCAGGTATTTTGTCACAGTGACAGAAAGCCGAGTGGCATCCTACCTCTTGCCACTTGCCACTTTATCATCCCTACAGTCATTTATATTACAAAGTCTTGGTTTCATATAATAAACTAGGACCATAATGTGGCCTGTGTTAGGAAGGTAATTGATTGAGAAAGCTAAGTGAGAAATGATCAGTCAAGACCTGTTGAGGGCCCTGGAGTGGGGAGAACACTAGTCTCCCTGTATTCATTGTGTGACTCCAATTGTCTGAACAATGGAGTCCACTATTGTTCTCTGAGAAAGTCTTGCTGAACTCCCATCTCATGTGGGCGCACTCTTGACAATGCTCTTGTGTTTGACCTGACAAACTAGGCAGGATTTGTCTTGGACCAGTCTTGCTTCTGGCAAGGCACTCTCTGACTGGACCCTTGGATGAACTCTTAACTTTTATTTATCTAAAACATCCCAGCTCCACAGTTGAACTCATCCACCCCTAGGACCTGGTAGACTGGACTTGCCATAGGTTCCTGGAGCCATTGATGAGTTTACTGGGTTATTCCTATTTTAGGAACAGATTTCTGATCTCTATGAATACAATCAGTCCCCTTTATCTGTAGGTTCAGCAGACCATGGTTCTCAGGAGTTTTATAAATGCTGATGCCCGAGAAACACCTGGAGGTTCTGGCCTGATGAGTGGGATGTGGCTGGGCATTGGAACATCTGGCTGCTCCCCACGGCTTTCTGCTGGGCAGCCCAGTGGAGAGCAGCTGTCTTAGAGAAATCTCTAGGATCTTGTCTATCGTGGTCTCACTCCTCCCATTTGAATGGAAGTTCCAAGAGGCCAGGAACTTGATTGCTCTTGATTGTTCTATTTCCCCTTCCCCCAGCATGGTTCTGGCACACAGAGGTTACTCAGGACATATTTGTGGAATGGAAAAAAAAAAGGCTTAGAGAGCACTACAAAGTGAGCCAGGAGCTCAGGGCCATGGGTAGCAAGACTCGCTTCTGCCACCCAGAGGTGATGGGAGGGGTGGGCTCCTGCCATCCTGCACCCCTGGAGCTGGTTCTGCTCTGGTTGCCTGGTTGGACTGTTCAGATGAGGTCATCACACCCCCATAGGAGGACGTGGCCTTCCTGGAGGCCTGAGGGGTGGGGCCAGTCTTCAGGCAGGAAAAGGGAAGACGGAAAAGAGCTTTGTGCTAACAGGTGAGAGGACTGTTTCCACTCTGTGCCTTAATCCCTTTATCTAGTCAGAAGGGTTCTGCCATCCTTTCAAGGCCCTGGGGGTGAGGGAAAGGTGGAACCTGCCACGTGGGGCAGGCTGGGGGCAAAGTCAAGAGACAGGCACCACATGGAGGGCCCCAGCGCAGGGCACAATCAGAAGTGAGCTGCTGGACCTGTGGACCAATGCTCCTCCTTGATGGTGCCACCTCCCTGCACGGTTCTAGTCTGATCTTGGCCATGAAGTGACATCTGGATTCCACAAAAGCGGGAAGGGAGGAAGGGTGGACAGCGTCTCCAAGACCAGGATCCCACCTGGGAGGAACAGTGGTCAGCGAGCCCCTCCAAGGGAAGGTGCACCCCAGGAAAGAGGGCTTCACTCACAGCCCACTCACAGCTGGCGAAGCCCCCCTGTGGCATCTGGGCCCTTTTCAGTTGCACTGCAGAGGACGTGACAAATGCACCAATTCATTAAGGAGGAGGACAGGGAGGATGGGACTCCTTCCTGAGGAAGCAGCGAAGGGAGAGAGAGCGCATGGGCGGCTGTGTTTGGGAGC